CTATACTATAACGGTGAACGCCCACCGGGTGAGAATAGCCAAAAGACTCGCCTGCGCTATTCTCACCCGGGGTGAGAATAGAGGTGGCCTTCAGAAATAAGGAAAAACAAGTCTTGTATCACACCGGGTGAAAATAGCCAATGCTGGCAAGTTTCACCCGGGGTGAGAGGTCGATCGTATAGATATTCCCACCCAGGGTGAGAATAGCCACTTCCAATCTACAAAGCAATGGTTTAGCAATCGTCAGTGTAGCAACGCAAGCAACCCCCTGAACTTAAAAGTCTGTTGGGGTAATTTTTAGTCGGACTTTTTACACTACCAGAGATTTTTTTTTAAACAGTTATATGTTGTGCATTGTATGAATGTGGCTAGAAAGCACCAAACACACTGTTGTATATGTCTCTGAAATCTAATGATTTTATCTTTTTTTTCTCCAGGGTTATTTACATTGCTTCTGGAGGAAATCGGTGAGTACTTTACATTTTTGAATATTTATGTCTTGTACCAATTTGAACTTTCTGAAGTCTAATCCGGTTATTTCAAGCTGAGCATCTAAAGCGAAATTTTAATAAAATGAACAGCAGCTTTTTTTTTTTTATGAAACTTCATTTTAAATCATCGTGTATTCAATTTCTTTGCACTTGTGCAATTTTACTTCAAGTCAAAATGATATTAGAAAAATAAAAGAAAGGTTTTTTGACTGCTAATTTTATGCAACCTAGCTGTAGTTTTTAAAAATAGAAGAGATCAGTGTATATTGTTTAATTTATTATGTTTCATATTTTCACAGGGGTTCATGGAGTGCAAGTGGAAGAAATTTACGACCTTCAGAAACCCATGGAGGGGTATGATTGTTCTTCCTTTTTAAAACTTTTTTTCCCCTTTGGCTGCTTTGCTGTGCTAAAAGGATTTAGCTCATTGTGGAAATTGATGCATTTTTCTCTTGCAAATGGGTATTGGTGTGTATGAATTGTTTGATCTGTGAAAATTTTATGCGTGGCACAGTCAGGATCAGACAAATCAGATTGAAAGTTTGGTTTTTCTTTTAACTTCAAGGTCTTTTGAAAAAGATACCAGACAGTCTGCTGATTTGTTTTTAAGTGTTGGTACTATTAATATTGAATACTATTAAAAATAAGTTATTTGCTTTTACTTTCCTGTTTCATTTGCTTTCCATTTTCGAACATTTTGAATTGTTTGATATATTTTCATCTCCTTTTTCGTTATAGGGATCTAAAATATTGGTTTATTTTTCAGGGCGGTTTATGGGTTTATATTTCTGTTCCGGTGGATAGAGGAACGACGCAGCAGAAGAAAGACAAACACAGAAGTCGAGTCCTTTGTCACCGATGCTGAGGCTGTGAACAAAATTTTTTTTGCTCAGCAGGTAAGTTGCCCTTTTCAGTATTTGTCCTTGTTACCATATAAAGATGACACTGTTGCTTACTTTTAAAGAGATGGGGAGAGTACTAAATATATTTTTCTACTAAACACTTTGCGGTCATTTGGCACAATGATGCGCAGGTGAAAATTATCCGTTCGGTCACCTGGTGCACTTCTGCGCCAGGCCCGAGAAGTCTGTTGCAGTCGCTCTCTTAGCTGGGTGATCAGATGGGGTATTTTGTACTGCTGGCTGTGTGACTGCAAAGTGTTAAAGTGTCTTGTGGAATGAAAAAAGTTTCAAACTTTTTTTACGGGAGGAAGGCGATTCGGTTGTTGTGAAAGAAATAGATTTAATGGTTTGAAGTAAGCGTTGATCAATACTGTGCAATAAGGAAATATGTTGGGAGAAACCTTAGGTTTACGAAAATGACCCAAACGTCCAAGCGACAAATTCAATCGTAACAGATGGACTCAAAAAAATGTTTTTTTATTGTACTGTGTTTGGTTATTTGCGAATAAAAAGTGTGTCACCCTCTTCAGCTTTTCGTTTACATATACAAGTAAATTTAGTTCAATATTTTTTTTTCTCTCCACTATACTTTATTAAAATATCCTTACCATGCAGAATTTGGTAGACTCCAAGACTCGAATGTTGTAGAGCAGTTTTATAGCTTCTTTGATCCACATCAAATTTTAACTTGTAATGATTGGTTTTATTCTGTCCTCAGATCATCCCAAATTCCTGTGCTACCCATGCCCTTCTCAGTGTTTTGCTGAACTGTGACAATAAAGTCAAGCTGGGGAAAACATTGACCCTTATCAAAGACTTCACAGAAAACATGTCACCCGAGGTAGGAGGAGAATGCACAGACTCTTAGTCAACGCATATGTTGTTTGTTAATGACCAGGAATGTATAAATACAGTCAAAATTGTGTATGCAGCTACCAATTGTCGATGAGGAAAATGTCCATCCTAGACAGATGGGCGTCTTACACGGTGTCATTTTCATGTTTAAACATTTAAAAATCGTGCTAGGGGAGAAATGGGAGTGGCCACTTGTACAGGTGATTGTCTTAATACAGGTGGCCATTAGAGCAGGTTCAACTGTTTACAAGTTGTGGCGTCCAGTTTGTATTGGGCTGGGACTCTTGAGTTCTCGTGTTGATACATTTCTGTCTATGTTCATTACCATAGACTTGTGTGACATGAGAGTGCATACAGACCTGCCACTCATCCTGATTTAATTTGGATATCCCCAAATCTCAAGCATCCCAATTTCGATCGCGTGTATCCCGATTTTTTTGTTTTACCAAATTTTTCTAAAAACTTACTTTGCCTTCATATATTTATGGACATCCGTGTAATATTTCTAAGTGAGCTTGGTAGTCACTCTGGTGAATTGTTGTTGATCTCGATTTTTTTTCCCAGATCCCAATTCTTTCCTCTTGAGATCCTGATTTTAAGATTTCATAGAGTGGTAGGTCTGTGTATAGCAACAAGGATGGTCTGTGTCATAGAGATGTTGTGCAATCTGTTTAGAATGTTTATTACTTTATACATGATTGCTCAAAAATTATACTTACTTCTTCATCTTCTCAGCAATCTGTTCAGAATTTGTCACTTTATACATGATTGCTCAAGAATTATACTTACTTCTTCATCTTCTGAAAATAAATATAAATGAGCATGTGGTGTAGATTTACAAGTGGTACTGTTTTACCTTTATTCTGTCTTTTGTGTGCACTTTCTTTAGTAATAACATGTTTTTGCAACTTATATTGCCTTGAATCTTGAGAGAATGCTCATCGTTTTGTTATCATCACTATCAAAATGTAAGATTAATTCGACTCCCATATGTCCTATTATGTGAAAATAAGAATGGCTAATTATAAATTACATATTCACTGATTCTCTGTCTAAACAGGACAAAGGTTTTGCCATAGCTAACATGCCAGAGTTGGCAAGAGTTCATAACAGTTTTGCCAGGTAAGTTTACAAGTTGCAAGTAAGCAGTAAGTTGCAAGTAAGCAGTAAGTTTCTTAATTTTCCTGGTCTCAGTTACTTTCTTTACAGTGATGGTGTGCTCTCATAAAAGTATGTGTAAACATTTATTACATTTGTTCCATACAATTTTATCTTTGTTTCTTCAGAAAAAAAGAGTCACTTTGCCAGTATATATATATATATCAGATATATATATCTGATCTTCATACTTTTATCAGTTTTGAGCTGTTGTTTCAAGTGAAGCTGAAACATTCTTTTCATTTTATGGGAATATTTGTTTCTATTAATGAACTTCTCAGTTATGCCTAACAATGATTTATTTGGTCTAGACAATAAAGCAAACAACAGTTGTGTAGCTGACAGTGTTGCTGGCATTGGGGAAAGGTG